GCTCATCAAAGACCTGCAACTGTCCCACTTTTAAGTATACTTATGTTGATCCCCTTTGCTTTCATTGAAATTTTGGCAAGTCGAGGTCATCCTCCTTCCACTGCAGCATTCAATCATCAGTCGAAGGCGTTATCTGAGTATCTGTTCGAGTCCACTTCAAAACAAGTCCCAACTCCTACATTCACTTGTTATTCGCTTCCACTGATGCCATGCTCTCTTCACGATCAATCAAAATACTCTGCTAAAATGCCTATCCGTAACACACGTTTAACTCAGGGTTCACCGTATTTTTTTTGCTCCTACTGTCAATTTTCGTTCTCCAGGTGGCGAAATGATAAACACATGCTAGTACTTGCAACTTCTTAATCACCCATCTTTCACATTGCTCTTTTCGTGTGTTTTTATGCTTTTTTGTTGTGTTTATGGCGCTTCTTAATTATCATACGTTTGTGCTAACTAGTGGTCCTGAAATTTTACCCAGTCGGGTTAAAGTAATAGGGTCTTCACGATCGGTGAACTGACACTTTTCAAGCCTATGGTGTCTGGATGTTTTGAATAGAGTTTTGTTGCTCAACTCTTACAATATGTTGAAGTTGCATTGTTTTTTACCTCCCTGGTCATTTTCTACACGCACCTACCACTTCGTCTTGGCAATAGCTTATCCTCTCAGTTTGAGGCTTAGTCTTGCTCAAATTACTGGTTCCGTTAAAGCTCTCATTCCTATCGGTAGGTGCCGACGAAAAAGACAAGGTGTATGAGTACGAAGGCAGTGACGTGGAGGATGACGAGTCGCCCGCCCCGCCTCCGCCCCCACCACCACCTGCACAATCCGCCGTTGTTGCTACTTCCAAAGATCCCTTTGCTGCACCTTTTGGTGGTGCTGGCGCAGCATTTGCACAGCATCGCGCCGCCTTCATTCACCAACAACAGCAACAAGTGGCACGCGGGTCTCGTCCTAGTGCTATTTCATCGCGAGGTCAGCCTCAACCCTCCTTCCTTGCTGCGCAGTCACAACACAGAGGTATACCACCACAGCAGCATCTGGTGCAGCGCTCGGGTATGTACCGACCTCCTCCGGCCGTCCAACAGCAACAGCCTCAGCAGCAGCATCGGAATTCGCAGGTTTTCAATGGAGAAGGTGGGACGCGTGGCTCAGTGATCGAGGCGCCGGGAGAACCGAGCACCGCGGTGGCAGCAGAGGAGCATACACTGAGACAGAAGTTTGCCCGCTTCCAGGTGCGTTTCATTGCATGATTTCATCGTCGGTTTGTGAGGTTGGGACTTTTGGATATTGGGCTGTTAAACGTTGCCATCATTATTCGCTTGCGCTTCTCCGGATCAACTTTACGAAAACTTTTCTCCCATTGTCAATAAGTTATCACTGGGGTTTTACATTTTACCTCTTGACATCACATAACTGTTTACTTTACTAACTTTTTGGATCTGGTAGTAACGTTTCATGTTCAAAATAAGTTTTTTTGCTTAAAAATTGTTTACAATAATGGATCGTGTATGCTGCTTGGTAGATTTACATGTTTTTTGGCTAGCTGAAAGTACAGTTGTGTGATTGCGTTACAGGGGCTTTTTCCCTGTGAGGTTTCTGTTAGTCGTGTGTTTAAAGAAAATTACATTTCGACGAGACTGTATTGCTACGTGATTCTGACCGCATAAGTGTGAGTGGATAGGATCT